TCTGGCTTGACTTTAGGGTCTTTTATGGAGGGTAGATCACTTTCTGCATCGGAGCATGCGTAATCTTTAGGGAAGGGATGGAAAAAAGTCGATCGTAAAAATGTTTCAGTCATTGCATCGTTGACATCCGTATAAGTATCGATGGATGCTGATCGAGGTATGCACGGATAGAGATGCTCATGTGCTCACGTGAAAAGTAGATAATAAAATTGTTATCGAGATATAATTCCTATCTAAATCTCAAGTTAGAGAAGAGAAAGAGTTAGAGAAGAGAATGCAAAGCCATTTAAAAAACTTATTACACATATATTTGTGAAATATATGTGCACTGCTAATTGCTGAGTGTTTAAAATAATTAAGAAAATATTCCAAGTAGAACAATAAATCGCGATAACATCATTTTGACATTAAGATAAATCGTGACTGATCGAAAAATGATTTAATAATTGTTTCAGAATTATTTCAACGTCATGTTGATGTCATGATGTTGATTTGTAGATTCAGTAGACTGTTCTGCTTGGAATGTATCCTTTTTCATAATTGGAAGCAAAATACTTTGGAAGTAAAATTATATTATAAATCGCGTTGACGTTCTTTTGCGCTAATGTAATTTTAGCACAATGAGTATCAAATAATGATCGAATTTCTTCATTCGTTAATTTTTGAAGCAAAATTCGATCTGCATAGACTTGAATTTCGCGATCGGATGGAATCGATTCAATTTGAGCCTCGTCGGCATTTGGCCCGATCCATTACAAAATCCTAAACAAAAGAGCGGACTCTCTCGATGTCGCTTTATAATAGCCAGTTTCTTCATGCTGGGCTTTGTGTGTATACCACAATCGGCGAATTTAGTATTCATTTGGGGTAACGTGGATATGATGACCGAAAACCTGGCGACCGCTAATATCCCAGTCGCGAATTCTTTTATGAAAGCATTCACCATCTGGCGTAAAAGGAAAGGTACAAAGCACAAAGAACGTTAGAAATAGCAAAAAAATTAAAACTTTTTGAATAATAGAATTATCTCTTATAAATTTAACATTTTGAAGCTTTAAATTTTATTATAATAATCAGCTACTTAATAATTACTAGTTTATGAAACAACGATATAATGGCAATAACAAATGATTTATTATTATTTTTCTATTATCTATTTTTAATTATTTTATAATCGTTTTGTACAGCAATTTCGTTTCGGCATTTTACGTGATTATGTCCAATAAAGATATAATTCAGCAAAATGCCAGCGAAATATCTAGTGATAAAATAAAATTAGATCGACTTACATAAATTTTCATTCAAAAATTCAAAAAGATAATATTTGTTTAAAGTTTTGAAGCTGTTGGTCAACTTCTTCTATCAAGATTGGTATATACCAAAAACATCTGGAGAAAGAACAATTATGCTGAAGAATGCTAAACTTATGAGAAAGATATCCATATGGTGCACAATACTAACCCAGACCTTGCTAATCATTTATATCGTTCTAAAGATTTCGGCGATTATATTTTCACCTGATGACTCATCTCGTCCCATGATTTATACGGCCTATTTTCCTTTCGACGTTATCAAAAGTCCAATTTTTGAATTGATTTGTGCATGCCAGATTTTATCTGCTTTTAGCGGAACAGTTGCTTATACCGGTAGCGACAGTTTCATTTCCATGCTAGTGATCCATGTCTGCGGTCAATTCGAAAACTTGCGCGAGAGGCTCAAAAATCTTGTTAACGATCCGAATGGAATAAAAACGTCTCAAGAGTTCAAGAGTGAACTGAGACAAATTGTAATGAGACATGAACATTTAAACTGGTTTGTATAATTCATGAAAATAAAAAATTTTTATACATTTTCTGCTATAGAACGCAAGATTGCCTCATATAAAATAAGTTCACGTATTAAAATACATTTTTTTATATCTGCAGAAGATAATTGTTATTAAAGTTATTAGGGCAGTCAAATGAAATATAGCGGATAAAAAAATACAGATATCGAAATAAACTAATAACAATGAACTTTTAACAATTGCCATAGTTGGCAAAACACTTCTTCTATGTGAAACCAGACGAGTTGATGGAAGAAGTGCCAGTTACAATGATTACTACAATAACATGTTAGCTGATTTCATTCTAAATTTTTCATCCGATATATTTCATTTGACTGCTCTAATAATTTCAAAATTAATTATTTAAAGTAATAAATTTGTTTTCAAATTTGTTTCTCTGTTTACAAATTTATATAAAATACACATAATAAATTTCTAAGTTTAATTTATTAAAATCAATTAAATTCAATTATATTCAACTTGAAAAATAATTATCTATCATGCCATCGTGCTATGTCACCGAATAAAGAACATTTGATAAAAAAGGCTTATAATATTTTATCTAACGTAAAATGATCTACTTAACATGAAATTGTTTATGCAAATGTAATTTGCAAAATTCTATGTATATTTAGCATTGTCATAATTCAATATAAATCGATAAAAATGCAAATCATATATGTCAAGGTTTGCAAAAACAATTGAGGATTCCTTTAACATGATAATGCTAATACAGATGCTTTCTTGTACTATTCAGTTATGCTTTCAAGGATTCCAGGTTTTTAGGGTGAGTGATGGAAAATAGCATTTTATCAGATATTGTTTACGCATTTATTTTCATTCTAATCAATTAAAAATATAATATTAACATTTTGTTAATATTACATTTGTTTGTATTACGTTGCTGCGCACAAATCCTTCCAATTAATTCAGAAAATATAAAAATATGTGTAATAAAAATAAGGAATATTTCAGATAATAATAAAAAAAGAAGAAAACGAATCGATGATCTTCCAATTGATTTTTCTAGGCATTTTCGTAGGATTTATTCTAGTTCACTTGTATATTTATTGTTACGTCGGTGAAATGCTGCTTGTTCAAGTAAGATTTATAAATATATGTGCATAATGTGCTTTCACACGTGCCAAAAAGTTTGCTTCAGAAGTGCCAAAAAGTTTGCGGGTTATAGTGTCATAATCCATTGCTAATGCCATTAATGACAATCTTTGACACTTCTGAATGTATATTACATATCTATTGCATTTCCTCATTTCTTCGAAATAACAAATTAATACTATTTATCGTTATTTTAACGTTATTTTGACAGTAAAGACGCTAAAAATACATTAAAATGACGACAAATAATGTCAGTTTGCTGATAGTAGAATAAGAATTTATTGCAAATATTAAACATACATATACAATATATGCACGCATTATATTTTAATTTATAAAACGAAAAAAAATCGAAGTTAATTGATTTTTTGTTGATAAATGCCATAATTATTGTTTATGAATAAAAAAAATCAATCATTAGTTTCGATTTTTTATCGTTTTATAAATTAAAATATAACTGCTTGAAAGAATAACATGTTACACATTTTAATCGACTAGTAAATTGAGAAGAAATATATTTACTGTAGAAAATAATAATCGTACATTAAAATTATTGTAACTTTAGATTAATTATTAAATATTAATTAATGACATTTAAGAGTACTGAGATAGGATTCTCTGCATACGAATCAAATTGGTTTAATGTGCCAGGAAAGGAAGCCAGAAATCTTCTACTTATCATACATAGATCAACAGCACCTTTTTCCTTAACTGCTGGGAAATTCAGTACATTTTCTTTACAGATGTTTAGTAAGGTAAAAATATTTATAAATAATTATTATTTATAAATAATTATTATTTTATAAATAATTATATTGTAAGTTATTTTATACATTTTATACATTTTATACATTTTATACATTTTATTTTTTACAATATGTCAATATCATAAAAAAATTCGTGATTAATTCATGAATTAATTGACTTATTAACTGATCGATCAATCGATCAATTAATCAATCAATTGATTTATTCACCCATTCATTTATAAATCAATCACGATATTTTCCTGATATTATCGATTACAAATATTGCAAAGGATTGATTGAGCAATCTTTGAACTGATTGATCTATTAATCAATAAAGTGATTGATTCATTGATTCTATGGATTAGTTTCACAATCGCATATGAATATGTTGTAAATATGTTAAACTTTCTGTTAAATGTCATTTTATTTCAGATTGTGAGAACTTCACTCGGTTATCTCTCAGTGTTACTTACGGTAACTGAACGGAAAGATAATTCATGATTAAAATTTGCTGTAATTATAATAATTGTTGTACAGTTGTATTGTTATCGTTAAATAATATAGAATCAATTGCAACATTCAGAATTCAGAATTTTACTTCTATTTTTAATATATAACAAATTGTCTGCATCATATTTTATAAGTGTACTTAAAAAAATCAATGTTTTTTAGATTTTAAAACAAGATTTAAATATCTTTTATTTTGACATATCTTTTATTAACATATGAATATTTAAATAAAATTAATTATTCAATTGAATAAAATAATAATAAGAAAATAAAAAGAGCTAAGAATCATCGCTAGTTCTTAATTGTTAATATTTAATGTCTTGTAAAATATAATATTTAATATATTAATAATATATTAATAT